AGTGAGGGAGAGAGAGCGCTGGCAGGGAGAAGGCAGCCATAGCTGCGCCAGCACAGGGTGTTAATGCTAGCAGTTAGTAGTAGATTTCAGAGGGATTAGTAGAGTAGACAGTGGGTGTATTCAGAGTAGATCCTTGAGTAGAAGTTAGTGAGTGTGCACGCATGTAGGGAGGAGACACAGCGAGGACATAGCTAGAGAGAAGAGTTACACAAGAGAGAAGAGCAGAGAGGAGGAGATACTTACCTGAGAGTTCATGCTGGTTATTGGTTACCTGTGGCATGCGCTGATATGTGCTGCTGACGCTGAACTCTTATTGCTCTTGTAATAACTTGTTTGAATTTGTAAGCTGCGTTACCTGGTCTTAATATCTCTGGTTCTCAGTGTGAATCACGTGTGATCTCATACATGCATGTGGTGGTGGCGTGCACTCAATGATGTTGAACTAGGAGGTTCATTGCATCTCAGCCCCGTGGCCAGGTTGTCAGATTCCAGAAAGAGAAAGAAGGGGAAAAAAAAAAGGAAAGATGGATTGGGCCGTGAAATTGGCTCGATACAATCCTGTAAGTGCCAGTGTGATCAGGGTTACAATCCTCTGAGGAAACACAGCTTGAGCAGATCACACAATCCGCTGTCAGATTCCAGAAAGAGAAAAGAAAGAAAAAAAAAGGAAACACGGATTCGGCCATGATACAWTCCTGTAAGTGCCAGTGTGATCAGGGTTACAATCCTCTGAGGAAACACAGCTTGAGCAGATCACGGAATCCGCCCTGCCTCGTTGGCAGGGGAATTATAAGAATGAGAAGAGAAACAAAAAACAAAACAAAACAACAACGTTCAGATTCTCACCGTTTAAGCGGCAAGATTCACTCTGCGGAGGACTACTGTGAACACGGCCTCCTAGACTGCCCTGCCCGACATCATTGCAGTCGAGAAAGTATCTGCTTTTTTTTTCCTCCTTTCATTCGCTGGCAATATAAGACTAAACGTTATGGGACTTGTCGAGCCTGGGTCCCACTCCGCTTTCTTTGGAAACAGGCATTTTCCCCTAATTTTCCAACACTGGTGGAGGTACTACCGTCTTCTCCCGAACACAATGCACCCTGATTATGAATGTATACAAGCTTGCTTTCTGGTCCCATACAGCCAAAATTGAGGTGCGTTGTGTTCGGGGGAAGACGGTAGTGCTTTAGAGCAGTAGAAACACCACATCCATGGCAAACATTTCGAAGTTAGCTCTGACCATGAGACTCTCCAGTGGATCAAAACTCAGCCCACAGTGTCTGATTCACTGAAGTGATGGTTATCAACTTATCATCCATTGTCATGTTTGATTTCACGCTAAAGAAGGACGGTATAATATTGTTGCTGACCCGTTGTTACACAAAGCAGACTTTCTAGGTGCACTTGTGACCAAGTTTGATCTAGACCGGCATGTACGTCAGCTGGCGGCAAAATCCTACCCTATGACAGTATTCGTAGCATCAGACGTCTGAATGCTCAGGATTGGAAGGGGCGTGAAGACTATAGAATGATAGAGGGACTGGTGTTTCTGAGTAACGATGGGTAGAGAGACTGTGTGTGTCCAATAGTGAGGCCCTTAGGAGCCTGTTTTCGTGAGAATGTCAGGATGTAGCAGGTCACTTCGGTTTCAAAAAGACTTACGCTAGGTCACTTCGGGTTCCAAAAGACTTATGCTAACTTATTACAACGCTTTTGGTGGCCAGGCATGAAGAGGGATGCCGAGATGCATGTTGAGAGTTGTGTGCAAGGGACAAACCTAGCACACAGGCCCCTCTAGGCTTAAACCACTGCGCTTCCCTTGGCGAGCCTAGAAACACCCCACGTGCCAAAGAAAACAAACTGGGGTGTTTTTCTTCGGCTGGTGCTGCCAGCCATGTAGCTCCAGTAGGATGTGCCCCGAGAGTCGCAGTGCGTTAAAGCGCCAGTACCCGGCCATACATCGGCTGCGGGCCCCTCACCGCAACTTTTGGAGGTCTAAAACGCGACATAGGCCACTGATGAAATTTATCAACGGCATTCCAGTCCCGAAAGTTGGGGTAGTGGGGACAAATTCATTTTCTGCAAGGCTGGGGTGGCAGTTTAACAACCGCATGGGAGTGGTTTAATAAATCCACTACCCGTGCCCAAGGGACCAGGTCAATCCTTGGTCATGGACTTCGTGGACATGCTGGTAACTGGCAGAAAGGGGAGTAGGTTCAATAAGCAGATTTTGGTTATTGTAGACAGATTCTATATTTGCAAGATTTATACCTCTACCAGCTACCACTAAGAGTGAGTTAGTGATTACTGAATCCGCCATCGAATGGATCAAAGATTTAGGATTATCTGAAACAATAGTAAGTGCCAGAGATGTCCGGGTCGGAAGCGAACAGTGGCAGAACCTGGTTCAAAAACTGGGTTCAGAACTTAGGCGACTTCAGGAAATAGTCCTGAAACTAACGGGCGGCTGAGCAGATGAACAGACGAGAAGAGCATCTTCTGCGATATATCATTTCTCCTGTTCAGATTGATTGGGATGTCAGACTTAACAATATACACTCAACCACTCACCCAATCAACTGCATTGGGGAAGGGAACCAAACACTCCCTTAGATTTCTTGTTTCCAGACCCCAAACTGCCATTGCAGTGTTCACCCAAATACAACGTACGGTAATTCTTGCTGTATCTAGACTCAAAGTTGCCCCAAATACAGTTATAATGACCGTCATGTACGTACGTTGTATAATAGGCCATGGCAGTAGCCCTTGGAACTATATAATAGGCCTTGGAATGTGAAAAAGATGATGAAACAGACTGTGGAACAGCTACAGAAATCACGGAGGGCAATGATAGACTCAGAAAATCCGCACAGAAGGGTGTGCAGTGTGCACTTTCCAGGGGGTGATAGGGCTTGGGTTAGCAACTTAGCACATCTGAGGGCATGATATATCATGGGGCCCTGGACTGTCTTAGACATTGTAGGGAATGATCCCGATGGCCCTTCCTATGTAATTGATGTCCGCCACATCTCCGCACTCACCCAGTCTTTCACACATCCAAACTCTTGTCATATACATACACAGCGGTCAGCTCCCTTTCCGGGGATCAATGCTCCCCCCAACCATGAGTCGAGGTCAAGCCGTGGGACACACCCAAATGACACGGGTCATCTAGATTCTAAAGAAGATCAGTGGTTTAGAGGTCAAGTCGTGGGTCACGAGAGATTATCCCTGTGCAGAAGCCACAGGCCAGAGGAAGAACACCTAAACGACAGATGCAGTTCAAGGGGGCCTTCAAGGGTCATCTAGATTCTAAAGAAGATCAGTGGTTTACAAGGGAAGAGGTAATTGAGTCGGCTCCTGAAGTGGTTCTACACTATGAAAGAGCTCCAAAATCAAAGCATCAGCAAGATTGAGGGTTGTGCAGGGGGGTTTGAACCTAAGGGGGTAGGAATGGAAGGCTTCAGGCCTGAACAGGCCTCCTCCACCAGGGGCTGCCTGGAAAATTCAGGCCCGGCCCTATGTGAAGGCCGCAACAGAAGAAGGGTCCGGCAGCTCTCCTAAGCGAAGGCTGGCGTGAGAAAGTTGGAAGGAAGGCTGGGCGCAGCCTCTCCAACTAACCAGTAGGCTCAGCCTCCCGGTTAGTTGCAGAGGCTGGGGCCCTGGCACTCAGTCCCGAAGGCTCTCTGTCTAGGAAAAGCCCAGATCCGGTCAGGCAGCCGTGGCCTCCACGAAATAACAAAAGGGAGGAGGCTGCAGCATTCCCACACGTTTGAATGCACTGGCTGCCAGCGCTAACTCTGGGAGGACGCAGATGGCTAGGCCAGCGGTCATGGAGGAAGAAGGTGAGGAGCAGCCAGGGCATAGCTGCTCCGCCAGTGGCAGCCATAGCTGTGCTGGGTGGAAGAAGGGTGGTGCTGGAGTTTGGGTGATAAGGGGACAAGTACACGGTGGGAACAGGCGGACTTACCTGGTGATGGCCGAAGAGCAAACTCATGGTGGTCAGACTCTGCACCATTGTTAGATGAGACGAGAGTGGGACAGGGAGAGAAGAGAAGTAGGCTGTGCATAGTGAGAGTAGGAGAGTAGTATAGGTGGGGCACATCGTAGTAGAGATGCTACATCGTGGTTGTATAGATGAGTGGAGGCAAGAAGTTGGGCTTTCTTTTTCAACGGACTTCAATGTCAGTGTGTTCTCATTTGGTATGTTCTCGGCTTTGTAATTCTGCTATCGATTTCGTTGTTATGTTCTTGTTCTGCTGCGAGTCTTTTGCTGCACAAAGAAATTTAAGTTGCCCCATTGATTGGTTCCTTGCAAACCTGTCATCTCCAAGGAAACAAGGTGATTGGTACTAGGACCTTAATGCTTTCTTTGTTCGTTTCTTTCGTTTCTTTCGTTTCTTTCGTTTCTTTCGTTTCTTTCATTCTTCTTCTTTTTTTTCCCTTCTTCGTTTCCTTTTTGTTTCTTTTTAATTTTTTCACCTTATCTTATCCTATTGCACCGGCTTTCAACTTTGAATTCCTGGCCTGTTGCTGAATGCCTGCCTGTGAGCGCCATGCATTCAGCCTCCATGCAGGTACAACATGATCTCTACTCTAATCTCCAATGCTGTTGGTTCTCAACCTTCAAGAATTAAGAATTGGCCAGCCAACAACCTTTACCCTGACGCTGTCTGCCTCACGTGAACGGTTCACACTACTTTTGGAAGACTCCCTAAAATCTACAGAAGACCTCCTCCATTCTGTCTCTCCCACTCCTTCCCCCCTTCCCGCCCGAGTTTTGCAACTTTTTATGCAATAAGTTCGACTACTGGGAGCAAGGTGAACTGATTATCCATATATGTTGTAATGGCAGGGTCTGATTTGTCCCCCCCTTTTGATGACTACCTATGTCTGAGTTGTTGATGGAAGTTCAGGGTCTCGGAAAGGAACAACAGATGCTTTACCTGTAGGTACGTATCTTCACACCCTGCGCCCTGGCTGGATTGCACCCACTGCAGATCTACTGGGAATCGAGAAGCTGTTAGAAAATATCGGGCGAAGCAGAAGCTGGAGAAGTCTAAGCTGGAGCATGAAGTGGCACAGCTGAAGGCGGCCACCACGCAGCTAAGATTGGCAAACTTTCATCTGCAGGGCAGGGTGAACAAAATGGTGGGTTCTTTACACTTTCCTCATTTCGAACTTACCAACACAACTGGAAAAATGAAATACCCTTACAGTAACTCCAAAAGAGAAGCATAGCAGAGAGAGTGAGCGGATTTCCACTCCCCTTTCCTTCCTTACACAAAGACCACAGACTTATGCAATGAACTCAGTCAGATGGAAAGCTCGTCGATGTTGAAATACAGAATGTCTCAGCGCAGTTTCGTTGTCTCCAAAATCGTACATGTAATCAAGTAGTCCCCCAATGTCTCGTGACCAGAGGAGAAGCTGATAGGAGGGAGATCAGACTTAGAGGGTGGAAGAGAGTATCCATCATCATGGAAGATAGACCTCCGTCACAAGCCCACTTCCTCTTCGGGCATCTCCTGCTCGCCACATCAGCAAAGTCTCATCTGACACGCTCTGACAAGGAACAGATCTCATCATGGCGTACAATGGCACGCACACCTTCTGAAGATGAACGACAATGCACGATGTCGACATGAACGTGAGCAGGTAAGCTTTCCACATTCGACCAATCTCACAGCCCTGATCCTCCTCCTCCTCGATCGTACTCCATCAATGTCATAATCAGTGTGGCACGAGCCACAATAGTATAATCAAGCGTCCACTCAGCGTCGTAGACAGAGAAAGGCGCCAGCACCAAGCAATAGTAGTCTTGCATCGTCGTCCAACGTCAAGCCAGCGTAGAGCCAGCGTAGAGCCAGCGTCAAGCCAGCATAGTGCCAGCGTCAAGCCAACGTAGAGCCCGCATCAAGCCAGCGTCAAGCAGCATGTGCAAGACTGAATGTCCACCGGCAGGGGTTGGGTCAGCTTATAGTGTTGACTTGGTTGACCAGCCTCTGGTCTCGCAGCTACGTTGGCCTAGATTGTCCGTCAGTCAATGGCCTGGATCTCCTATAATTGCAGATTCCACTTGGACTTGATTCCTTCCGGATACCTCCAGACAACCAAAGGTATGTGTGTGATCTGTGGCCAAGGCTGGGTGCGTGTGGACTTTGATTTGTGGGCCTGAATTCACAAGCTGAGCTGAATTGTTGACTTTCCAAAAGTCAATTGTCTTAGGGTAGGCCTCGGAAGGACGTATTTGGCCTTGCCTGCGGTACCCCAGAGTGTAGGCCTTCGGGCAGGCATTTTCATGATTTGGGCGTGACCTTTGACCCCTGGTTCGGGCCTCTGACCAAAGTGACAACCCCGACCCATAGCTGGTGCATATTTGAGCCGAGTTATTGCATTCCATCGGGCCCAATTTTGAGTTTCATCGCAGGAACTATTTCGTAGGCTCGGTTCTTTTTTAACCCACGCTCATATGCAGTGACAATATCAGGTGCAGTAGGTAGAAGGTCTTTCTTAGTGAACCATCTTGATTCTGATACAGGATCAGTTTTGAACTTTGCCTTGTATTGCTTTTCCGGTCTTCCCCTGCCAGCTGTTGAAAAGTATCCATGTTCTAAATTTTTTAACTTCGTAGCCTGCATTTATAGAGGGAGGAAACATGGATGGTCGGTTAGGAAACTCATGGCCTTCTACATATTGTAGCAGTGCGGAAGCATGAAAGACGGGGTATGTCTTGAGGTGAGGGGGTACATCAATCCGATACGATGGTCCATTTGCATCCCCTATCACCTTGAGAACTTCCGAGGGTCCATAGTAGACAGGTAAGCAATTTATGAGGCACATTCTCTTCAAGGGAGAATTCTTTAGACTTTACCCAAACCAAGTCTCCTTCTTTAAACTGAGATGGTCGACAATGCTTATTTGCTTGTTCGATCATCTGTAGTTGCGCTTTCTGAATATTCTCCTTTGCTTTAGCTATGTCTTGTTCATATAGGATTGGAAATTTTCTTGTACCTGGGGGTAGCCATTGGACTTGTTCCCTAGTCAAAGTATCAATGGGACATCTTGGCTTCCAACTTTTATGAAGTGCGTTAGGTGTTTTGCCTGTAACAGTATGAACACTATTGTTGTAAGCACTTGCAATTTTAGGTAAGTTATCACCCAATCAATTTGATCTAACCTAACATACATTCGCAAAAGTTGTTGGCACAATTTATTCATTTGTTCAGTTTGTGCATTCGTTTCAGGGTGTCTACTTGACGACATGGTCAGTCTTGTGCCATAGGCTTCCGTTAGTTTTTGCCATTGTTGGCCGGTGAATCGTACATCCCTATTAGAGCCGATGGTTTTTGAAAATCTGTGTACTCGGAAACCCGTCACATCGGGAACTTTTGGATGACAAGTTTGGTTTTGGTTTCCGATGGTAGAAAGACAAACATAGCATACTTAGAGAACTTATCAACAATGACCATTACCTGACTGTTTTCATTCTAACTCTTGGTGAGGCTCATGAAATCAATAGAGACGGACTCACGTGGTTCACTTGGAATAGGAAGCAATCATAGTCCCAAAGGATTCTCGTTAGACGACTTATTCCTTTGGCAGGCAATACAAGTTCTCACATACGGTAGCACATGTTTTTTTTTTCCTTTCCGTTCGAAAAGCTCTCTCACATTAACATATGTCTTCTTAAACCCGAAGTGGCCCTCAGTATCATAGCATTCCCTCATAACCATACTTTCGATATCTTCTTTAGAAGGAATGCAAATTATTTTTTCGGTTTGATCAATAAAGAAGAGCAAGCCATTAGTCATTTGATCAGTAAAGAAAAGCAAGTCATTAGTCATTTGGTACTCAGGAAAAAGTTATGGGTAGGTTTTGACTGATAAGACTCTAGATAGGATCCTCAACTTACCCTTGTCGTATTCGGTCCTTCAACTCAGTCCCTATGTTGAGGTAGGTAACAATGGTACCAAAGAAATCAGAACGCCTAGACAAAGCATTAGCGACAACGTTAGACTTACCCGTAATGGTTTTCAACTAGTCAAACGCGTCAATGAATGAAGACCATCTTACTAACTTGTCGGAGAGTGGTGGTTGTCTTGATCCACTGCAGGGTCAAGTGATCTGAGTAGACTGTAAAGTGTCGTCTGAGCAAATAGTGTTTCCAAGTGTCCAGTGCTTCATACAATTCCCTTTCGTAGGTGAGTTAGCTACCTTATCAAATTGAAGGCGTTTAGACATAAGCTCGATAGGTCTATAGCCTTTCCCGTCATCCTGCTGTAGCACAACCCCAATCCCAAACTGACTAGCATCAGTTGTAACAATGAAAGGAGGTGATGGATCAACAATCTTCAAGACAGGGTAATGAGTTAGTGTGTGTTCGCTTCTTAATGCGGACTCATAATCTTTGTCTCATAACCCAGGTTTTTCTTTCTCAAGTAATTTTCTCATAGTTGCAGCTATAAAGGAGAAGTTTCTTACAAACTTCCTACAATAACTAGCAAGTCCTATGAAGGATCGCAACTCGGTGACAATTTTAGGTTTGGGGCAATGTCCGATTGCGGTGATCTTTTTTTCTTCGGGCTTTAGTCTCTCTTCATTTACTATGTGTCCAAGATAGAGGACCTCAGACTTAGCAAACGATGACTTCTTAGGGTTCAACTTATAGTTACGTTCTCTTAACTTCCCTAGAACTATTCGTAGGTGTTTCTCATGATCTTCCAAGGTCTTACTTTAGGCGAGGATGTCGTCGAGATACACCACTATGAATTGATCTAGCCACGCCTTTGAAAGGTTGCGGGGGCGTTAGTCAACCCAATGAGCATCACAACAAACTTCCCATACCTTGTTCTGAACGTTGTCTTGTGTTGATTTTCAGGTATCACCTCGATCTGGTGGTATCCTGACTTCATATCAATCTTGCTGAAATAAATGCAACATTGAAGATCATCAATTCGAGGAATGGGTTCCGCATTCTTAATGGTTACGAAATCCAGTCCTTGGTACTCAGTACACAAAGTCCTCCTTCCTTTTTAGGTACGAATAGAATAGGTGCACCGTAGGGCGAGGAACTTGGTCGAATTCATCCTTTGTTAGTAAGGTCTTGTGTTTTCTTTTTCAGTTCTTCTAGTTCGCTTGGGGACATTCGGTAGATCGGTCCTTTAGGAATCTTGCTTCCGGTAACGATTTCAATAGTGTGCTTTATAGCATGCTCGATTACTCTTGTTGGTTCAATCTGCAAGTCTTTATATTCATTGAGTAGTTGGTGATTAGGAGGAGGATAGGACGAAAAACATTCACCTACTGGTTTGACGAGTACCGTCATTACATCTTGTACCAACTTCTTTTTCGTGACCATACTTCGAAAAGTAGGAAACTCCAATCTGCAAGTCTTTATATTCATTGAGTAGTTTGTGATTAGGAGGAGGATAGGATGAAAAACATTCACCTACTGGTTTGACGAGTACCATCAGTACATCTTGTACCAACTTCTTTTTCGTGACCATATTTCGAAAAGTAGGAAACTCGTACAACACAAAATAGTGGTGAGTTAGAACCAGATTTGTGAAACAGTTTAATTGACTCCATTTTGGATTTTTCATCCTTCAATTTGACAATCTTGTCTTTGAACTTTACTTCTGGGTCGGCCACCTCGTGCCAATCCATTCCTATAATCATATCAAAATCCGGGTTTTTTCTACGAGGAAGGTTACTTGATGCAAAAAAAAAATTCCTTAGTTCGGAAATAACATTTCACACGGACGACGAATTGAGAGACAATTATCGTGCTCTTGTCAACAAGCATAGACGTGATAGGTCTCGGAAGGTCCTTCACTCTCATTCCCGGATGCAACTTGCGAATTGCCTTTTTTGAGATATAGGACCGCGTATACTCGGGCTCTAACAAGACACAATCTTTAAGTCAGCAATCATCAATTCACCCTTAGACTTCGCTTTCTTAGCCCATGAACTTCGTAATGCTTTGAGTTCACAACCAGGTTCATCAAGGGAAGCACCCAGTGAGACAAAACACAAAACCTTTTCAGGGTGGTCTGGCTAATGGGTCGAAGAAGAGTCATCCTTTGCCTTCCGAATTGGGGGGTTGAAAGGGGTTGTCGGTGCCTTACCTTTGTCCAAACCCACCAACT